GGAGTGTTGGAAGGAGGAGGGAGGAGGCACTATGCCCAGTCAGGCTCCAACACTCCAGATGTCTGCGCAGATCCAAGCCTTTACAGGCAAGCAAGGGGCTCTGCAGGAATGAGGAAGTGCTACGCCTGCCGGGAGGGGCTGCTGATAGGCTAGATGCTTATGAATCTTATCTCTGGGCCTTGGGAGATTGTGGGGAGCAGAGACTGGGTGTGAAACAAAGAGCACCAGGCAGGGGTCCAGCCACCCCTTAGCTTTCTTTGCACTGAAACCAGGTCATTTGCCTCCCTGTGCCTTGGTTTCCCTTTCTGCTATCTATGGGACCAGCACTGAGGTGTTGGTCAAAGGCAGGGCCTAGGTCAAGTCCAGGGAGCAAGCATTTCATTGTGGAAAGGGCCCAGGCTTTGAAGTCAGATGGCCTTGGGCTCCAACCCTGGCTCTGCCATAACTGAGGCTGTGGGGCCTGATGCCAGCTGCTTTGCTTCTGGGAGTGGCTGCTGGTCCAGGATCACACTCGGAATCTCTGCTTCTCTGTGAGAAGAGGGCCTCTGCTTGCTCACTGCTACCCCAAACAGTGCTGGTGTCTAGCAAATCCTTGGGAAATTTTTTTTTTTCCTTCCCAGTACTAGGAACTGAACCCAGGGCATTAGGACTATTTTTTGGTACCGGGGATCGAACTCGGGTCCTTGCGCTTGTGTAGCAGGCGGCGGAACCACTGAGCTAAGTCCCCGGCCCCAAGCACTATTTTTTATTTCGAGACAGGTCTTCCTAAGTTGTTCAAATTGGACTGGCACTTGCTATTCTCTCTCAGCCTCCAGAGTCCTGGGATTGCAAGGATGTACCACCATATCTAGCTTGGTAAATGCTTCTGAATGAATGAACAGAATGCATTATTTTGGCTGGGGCAGAGAGGGGTGGAGGTAGGCTTGGGCTTGGGGATGCTGGCAGGAAATGGAAGAAGGTAGTCAGGGACTGAATTGTGAAGGTCCTTTAGCGCCAGGTAGCAAGTTGGGACATGTGGCAGAACAGCCCCCAAATAGGGCCACATCCTCATTGTCTGAGAATGTTATATGCAAAAGGGACTTTGGGGATATGGTTAAGTTAAGGAATTAGAGGTGGGGGGATCATCTTGGATTATCCAAATATAGTAAGCTCGCAATGTAATCACAAGTGTCCGTGTAAGGAGGCAGAGGGCCATTGAGTTGTAGAGGAGAGGTGGTGACACCCGAGAGGTTGGAGTGATGAGCACAAGAAAGAGGCCATGAGCCAAGGAGTATAGGAGGCATCTGCAAGTTGTAAAAAGTGAGGACAGGTTGTTCCCTGGAAGCCTTCAGAAGGAATTGGCTCTGACAACACCCAGCCTTCAGATTTTTAAACTCTTAAACTGCAATAGAAGAAAAGTGTGCTCTTTTTAAGCCTACAGTTAGTGGCCATTTGTTATGGCAGCCACAAGAAATGCACCCAGGGCTATGCTATGGGTTGGAGTGGAAGTTACTGAGCAGGGACTACAGGAAAGACTCATGCTTTGGAAAGCTCACTAGGAGTGATGGGACAGTGTGAGTGGGCAAGGGGATCGGGGCCGAGGAATGAGAGGCAGGCAGGGAGAGGGGCAAGGGGATGAGCAAAGGCAGGGCAATACAGGTAGGGAAGGAGCAGACAGAGAGCCTCACGTTGGAGAGCAGGCTGCTGGCTGGCCACAAGGAAGGGAGGACTGGCCAGCTCGGTCACTGTCTCCTGGCATCTCCCTCACTGACTATGTCTTCCGCTCCACCCAGGGCAGGCTGGATCAGTTCCCTCCAGAATTCTTGGCCCAGGCACACACTGCAGTGCTGGCAGTGAGAAGGCTCTGGCTCAGTGCTGGTTTTTGTCCCCAGGTAGAGCGCAAGAAGGACATGCTATCAGTCGTCAAGGAAGCTGGGAGCCAGCCTTATCAAGGAACATGCCAGGCTCCGATTGCTCTGGCAGCCTCAGTGGGAAAAGCCCCTGGCTCTTCTTGGCCTCCTGACACTCCTGTGACCTCAACCTTGGCATGAGGCCTTCCGTCTGGCTCCTCCATCCTCCACTAAGCCCTTCTGCCCACTGTGCCTCCATTATGGTCTCTAGGAACCTGTGCTCTGGTCCTGGCCTGCAGCTGCATGTGACCTCGGTGGACACCATCTCTTAGCTGGGTGGCTGTGAGTCAGAGGAGAAAGTGGATGCTGGTACCCAGCAGTGCACCCAGCACCCAGAAGACACTCCATTACTGATGCTGCTATTTCTGACAGAGCTTCCTAGATCGTGTCACTTCGAGTGTTTACTTGCCTTCTCAGAGCCTTGATTTCCCATCTATAAAGTGGAGATTAAACAGACCCCTACTTCACAGGGTTTGCTGAGAATGAAATGAGGCCCCCAGTCTCAAGGGTTCAGCCCCACCGTGGATGAGCAGGGCTTTTCTGTTTGCATTTAAAGTCACAGTGCAGCCAGCTGAATAAGGATGAATATGGGAGCCGAGGGTGTGTGCTGTCTTTCAATGTTGGGAATGAATTTCAACCCCTGCACATGTTGCTCTGAGCCATCACCAGTCTGCTTTGTAACTGAGCTGTGAGCAATTCCAGGTGGCGAGAGCAGCAGCGTGGGGTCCACGGCTTCTTACCTTTCTGTGCACCCTTAACATGGGACCCAGAGAGTAAGAGCAGGATGCCCCTGCAGAACGATTACTACGCGGAAACAATCTCAAACATGTCAAGTGGTAAATAGTGGGTGCTTAGTGAATGTTCTCTACTCTTGTTGAGTGCTCATTGAATGAGTATGTGTCCTTAAGGATTAGGGTAGAAGGCAGTTTATTAAGCCAGGAGTCGAATAAGAATGAGTAGTACAAAATGATACACTTGACTAAACTGAATAGTGCCACCTCCTTCTGTCTAATCCTTAACCATGTGGTTTTTATTCTTTTTTTCTCATACACTGTGAACTAAATTAGCTTTGCTGCGGAGGCTGCCTCCTAAATGTAGGATTGTGGAAGGACAGGGTCAAATGGGCATTTCATCCATCAAGACAGGCTGTGGATGGCTCCAGATGTGCATGCTGGACACACCTTTGTGCTGCTGGGGAGGAGGAATTTGGGAGTGTGGATGTAGAGGCCAGGAGCCCAGGAGGTCAGGGAGATGGCCTGGGGAAGTGTTCAGGAGCTGGGAGGCTCAGGCTTGCTCTAGTAGGAGAGCAGCGGAGGGTGGAGGGCCTGGCCCCAAGTCTGTCGGGGACACTCCACACCTGTGGGCAGAGGGTGACAGCTGCATGGACCAGAAGGGCTATGAGGCCCAGGGCTCTTGTGAGGGAGTTTTGACTCCACAGCTGTCCATCAGAATGCAGAACCCCAAGTTGGGGGTCTGCAGTGTCCCCTTGAGTTTTTGGTGAGTGTGAGGTTCAGTGATTGAGAGTAGACTCACATCCTGTTGAGGGCTGTGGTGTCTGTTCAAACCCCTTAGCTCATACCACCTTCAGGCAACTCTGCAGCGAGCTGAGCAGGCCACACGACACATCCAACACTCTACAGGGTGAGGAAACTGAGGCCCTAGAGGGACAAGGAATCGTTCAAGTCACAGGGCAGGTGAGGGCAGAACTTTTTCCACAAAGAACATAGTTTTGTAGCTGACCTTTCATAATTTCTCATCACAATCAACATGCAGAATGTCATTTCTACATCCCTGGCACTCAGCATAGTTCATGATATGTGGTAAGAATCTGACAACTATCTGCAAATGAATGAATGGGTGAATACATGGATGGATGGATGGATGGATGGATGGGTGGATCAGTAATATAGATCAGCATTCTGAGAGGCAAAAGCTTGGTCTGAAGGAAGATAAAGGAAAGCAACATTTATTGAGCAACTTCTATGTACCAGACATTCTGTAAACATTAGCTCATTTGTTTCTCTCAACAGCCTAAGCTCAGACAGGAGCTGTCTCTCCACACAGTGAGTTTTCAGTGTCACTCAGGTCTATCCTGCGCTGACTTGGTCACCAGGGAATTTATCTAAATCTCATTCTGATTCTCTTTCTCTTTTCAGCCTGGACTAGTCCAGGAGTGGAACCCTGAAGTTTCTTCTTTCTTTTATATTCTCACTCTGCATATCCATTAGTCTGCAAAATTTTAATTAAAAAAAAATAGCCCACTAGATTTTGCTTTCTTCCCCTTTCTCCTCTCATAGACCAGTGTCACACTCTCCTTGCTGACATCCCTGTTTGCAGGCTCACTCTGCTCCTCCACATCAGGGCTATTTTACCATAGCATAAATCTGGGGTATAGCTCAGTGGCAGAGTCCTTGCCTCGCAAGCACAGTGAGGCCCTGGGTTCCATTTTCAGTACCAAAAAAACCCAACCCAAACCAAACAAGCAAAATCCAAAAACAAAACAAGGCACCCACAACACAGATCTGCTTAGGTTATCCCCGTCTTGGCTCTAACCCTTCCATTTTCCCTGTCATCTCTTGCCTGGCTTTCAAGCCCACCCTCCCATCCTTTTTTCCCCGCTGACCCGAGTGTTCCCACAGTAAGAGCTGATACACAATAGGTGCTCAATAAATGGAGCTAAGTTTCTCATTTATCCCTACAATGGGCCCATCAGGAAGCAGAATTAGTGCCTGGCTATTTGAGTGCTGTCCCGGAGGACTTAGTCAAATACTCATGACTCCTAAGTGGCAGAGTCAAGCCTCAAAGGTCTTCTGATTGAAAAGACAGCATGGCTAGAGAGAAGGGCCCCTGAGTCTGGAGTCGGGAGTCCTCTGTCCACATCCTAGCTGAGTGGTACTTGACAAGTTAGACCGTTCTGGTGATCCTTTAAAAATGGAGGTAGAATGTTCTAATTTGGGAGTCATTGGAGGATTAAATGAGACTGTGTTCACAAAGTGGTCATGGAGCGTTCTCAGCACATCAACAAACACCATCTACATGCACCCTACTGCCATCACCCCCGAGATGCCTCCCCCTTCCCTAATCTGGTGCACAAATGGCCAGTGCTGTTACCTGTTTGTGGCTCCCTGTGGGGCTGTAACTTCTGTCCCACTCCACACCTGGAGATTCAAGGGTTTCTCCTCCTGCCACCTGGGTTCTCGGCTTTGGCTCCTGATCAGCTGAGAGTTGTTCAGCCTCAGAGAAGTTTCATGGGAGTTGCGGCTGGCGAGCTTGCAGCAGAAGAGCTGATGGTAAGCAGTGCGGAAGTCTCTGTTGAGGGCAGCATACAGGATGGGGTTCAAGGCTGAGTTGGCATAGCCCAGCCACAAAACGATGGCTTCAAACACCTCATTGACAGCATCATCCCCTTTCAGCCCACGGTAAACAAAAACAGTGAAGTAGGGAAACCAGCAGATGATGAAGGCCCCCATTACGGCAGCCAGTGTCACTGTGGCTTTGTGCTCCCTGATGGTGGCTGCCTTCCAGGAGCTGATGTGATTGATTCTCTTGGCCTGCTCCCGAGCAATCTTGAAGATGCGGAAGTATGTGATGCACATTATCAGCAGAGGTAGGTAGAAGGTAACCAGTCCGTCCACCAACCCATACACTTCATTGACCTGAACTTTGCACTTGAGGGTGGTGTCATTATCCTTGCTGGTCTCATTCCTGCTATTCCAACCCAGGTGAATAGACAGGAAGGACAAGGTGATGGAAATGACCCAGATGAAGACTAGAGAGATGGCAACCCGAGCTGGGGTGATGAGCACAGGGTACCGTAGTGGGTCGGTGACAGCGCAGTAGCGGTCAAGGCTGATCATGAAGAGGTTGAGGATGGAGGCTGTGCAGAGCATCACGTCCAGGCTGGTGTAGATATTGCAGAAGACCTTGCTGAAGCTCCATTTGCAGGACAGCTGGTAGATGGCAGAGAAGGGCAGCACCAGGAGGCCCAAGAGCAGGTCTGTGACTGCCAAGGACACAATGAAGCAGTTGGTCAGACTGCGGAGCCGGCGGTTCAAGCCTACAGCCAGGCAGACAACCACATTCCCGGCGACGGTGATGAGGATAAGGACTACAAGGATCACACTGATGGTGATCTTGTACACAGTAGAGTCCAGGCAAAAGGAAGAGGCTGTGTCATTGAGCGCCATCCTGGGACCCTTCTGTTGCTGCCCTGGCTCTTGGCTGCTTCTCTTCTGCTCTTACCACTGGGCTCCAGGCTCAAAAAGAAAGTGTCCAAGTTTGGGGAGGCTTCAATGACTTACCCAATGCTGTTTTTCTAAAAATAAACCAAGCAATACCCTGTAAGGTGTGGTGCAGGAGTAGGAATGGAGAGGTAAAGGCAAGACCTTGAAGTCACATTGGTGGTTCAAACGCCAGTCCTCAGCGAGTCCCCTGAGGAGCCAGCTTCCTCCTGGGGCTGGGGTAGATCGCCACTCTCTAGGTTTTGCATATAGACCGAGGCCCTGGGGCATGTGTTTGGAGGTGGCTTTGTTTTTATGCTGGAGGGATCATGCATAGACTCAGCCTTATCCTCCATAGTTGGCTACTGCTCCCATCTACACGAAAAGGTCTTCCTCTCTGGGGTCACTGGAAATCAGGAGCTGAAAATGCAAAGGTGAGTGCTGAGAACTTCAAAACCAGACAAAAGCATGGCCCGACTCTAGGTGAGTCGTTCCGGATCTCTACCTCCTGACGAAGTGGTGTGGGCCATTTTGGGCACCTCTCCTTAGGAGAAATGGAGGGAATTGGGATACACATAGGGAGAGGGAACGGACACAGGTTCAAGTGGGTGGAACTCCCACAGGGTGTTTCCTGTGGGAAACAGTTGGAAAGGCTAGGAACATTTATACTGTAAAAGGGGCAGATCTAGACACACGCACTAGGCTCCACCAGAAAGGGAGCTGAATCTTTGTTTCCTGATGGTTCCCAGTGCCTGACCTCACAGACAGGCGCTAAACATCTGATAAAGGATAAGATAAATGAGCCAATAAAAATGCAATTTATTTGCTCTTAGAAAGTGCTGAAAACAGTATTTGGAGCTGTTGTTTTTACAAGAGGTCAGCAAACGTTTTCGAAGAAGGGTCAGTAGTGTATGTTTTCTCCTTGGAGCCTGCAATCTCTGCTGTAACCACTCAACTCTGCCACTGTGGTGAGAAAGCAGCTGTTTCAGGCTGTGCACAAACTAGTGAGCGGGCTGTCCTCCGGTAACTATGAACACAGAAACGTGGATTTCATGTCATTTTCATGTATTTCAAAATCTTCGTTTTTTTCCCCAACAGTTCAAATATGTGAAAACCACTCTTAGCTCATGGGCTGTACCACCAGACAGAGGGCCAGATTTAATTTGAAGTTTGTCACTTGTTATCTCCATGGTTTGTCAATCCCAGCCTTGCTCAAAACTCATCTCTAAATCTTACTTTTTTGCAGTACTGGGGACTTAACCCAGGGCCTTTGGACTGAGCTATATTCCCAAACATCTATCTATCTATCTATAGACAAGGGCTTGCTGAGTTACTAAATTGCTCAAGCTGGGCTCAAACTTGTGACTCCCGCCCTCTCCCAGCCCCCTAAAGTGTTGGGATTACAGGTGTTCATCACCACACCGCTCTTACTCCACATGTCTTATTTAGCAGCAGCACACGTGGTTCCAATATAGGTATGCTGGTATGGAACTCACTGGGTCCTCTTAAGGATCTGTGGGAAGACTGGTCATGGTTTGTCTCATTCTTTTGCCTCCCTCTGTCCCTTCCTCCCTCCTTGCTCCCTGTTTCTCTCTGTCCTTTCTGAAAATATCACTTTAATAACATATCAGCATATAAAAAGCCTCTTGGTTAAATCAAAGCCTCTGGTCATCAGATAATCTCCAAGATTTCCTTCCAGTAGTGATATTTGTGTATTTCCAACTGGTAAGAAACAAACTAAAGACTTGGGTGCTTTCACCCAAGCTCCTCCTCATTTTTCAGAGAGCAGTCGGCAGGCAATCTCCCAAGGTCTGAGAGCATGCACAAATCGGGTCGACAGCAGAAGCCCTCTCAGAAGCAAGCTAATCTCCATGGAACATAAATTGAGCCTCTCACAGCATCTTGCCTGGAGCGGTTTTGCAGCCTGAATATGAGAAGCCTCATTTAATCATAACGACTCTGCTGGAGCCGGGATCAGGGCTCCCCATCACCTCCTGCTGCTCCAGCTGGCTCAGCCAAAGGCTTTGTGAGCTGGGCCTCTGGGTTCTATTTTTAGAAGATCTTTTCATTACATAAATAGCCCAAACAGCATGGGTCTCACTGCCACACTTAATTAACTTTGGAGAGGACAGAAAAAGATATGTTTTTTGAGAATCTCTATTTCTGATTAAATTTTTTCTTCTCTCTCTCTCTTTCTCTCCTTCCTTCCCCTCCTCTTTTCCTTTCTTTTCTTCCTTCGCCCTGTCCCTTAGTCCCTTCCTCCCTCCTTATTTTCCTCAACATTTTATACCGAGCATTTCCAAGCACTCACGTAAAGTTGAAAAAACAATACAATGTACATGGCATCTTGTCTTCCTGTCGACAGGCTCAACTCTACTTCCTGTATCCGCTCTCTCCTGCATGTGTGTGTATGTGAAAAAGATATAAAACTCATTCTGTCACTTCCTTTCTCCACCTTGCAGGCTGCCAACAGATGATTCAGTTGTACATTTCACTACTTCCTCTTATGTGATCTTTGTCTTAATTACCCTGGAATTGGCACTTTTGGAGAATTTACTCATGCAGAACAGCGCCTCCCCTCCACTTTCTGCTAGGGAGGCTTTACTTGTAGGCATTGCCAGCAACTGGAACCTGAGCGGAAGGAAGGCTGGTCAGTTTATTGTGTGCCTCTCTTCTCAGGGCCTTGGAGAGCATCCCTAGGAGCAATCATAGCTCAGGCATCTGTGCAGCTTGCAGACAGGAGCCCTACCCTGTGAAGTTGGGGGTCTGATCTTTATTCTGTAAAACACTCTCTGAGAAGTGAATGGAGCTCCCGGCCTGACAGCAAGGTTTTGATATTGGACAGATCTGGGTTCTGATCCCAGCATGGTCACTTAAAGAGCTTTGTGAGCTTGAGTGACAAAGGTATCATGGGGATGACAATTACTCCCTGTTCACTGGGTGGATATGAAAGTAAATAAAGGAACAAAATTCTCAGTGCCTGACATGTGATAGGTTCTCATCAGTTATTTTTATCATTGCCCAAAGCCACAAGACCAGAAACTAGCATTTACCCACACTACATGTATTTGCTAAAGTCTTGGAGGTTCAGACACTGTGCTGGAGTCTTGGGACACAGCAGAGAGCACAACAGGAATTGTTTGCAGCTATTGCTGGGTGGGCCTGGCTGGGTCAGGGGACCTCAAGTAAGCCACTGTAGAGTTGCTTATTTAATCGAAGCTGTGCTGAGAGTTATATGATGAGAGTAGAGAGAGCCACACAAGTACATAATGGGGGATCTGAGCAGTCTAGGGGATACTGAGAGCTTCCCTCAGGGGAGGTAATCTTTAGGTTGTGATCTGTCCAGATGGGAATGAGAAACTGAGTGAAAGCAAGAGGCAAGCAGATTGCAGATAAGGAGGACAGCAGCGGCAGAAGCTCCAGAGGGGTACGGGGGACTTTGACCCCACAAAGGGTGATGTCACTGGGTCCCTGGAAGGCAGTTCTTCATTCTCATCCGCTTGGCCAGGGACCCAGTGCTGAGGGCATCGGAAAGTGATCCTAGAATCAGCCCATAAGAAACAGCCCAAGTGGGTCCCCAAAGCAAGTAGCTTTGTAACGTTCATTCTGTAAGGGGCGAAGACAGAACTTTCCAGACCCCAGAGTGTCTGCCCCACATGCGGAGTTAGACCAGAGAGTCACAACTGAGAAGATCCTTGGCCTTTCCGGGGAGCCTCTTCCTGCTCACAGTTGTCAGGATGGCTTCAGGCAAGAAAGGCTGATGACCATTATGTGCTAGGGATCTGGGGCTTCTCAGCTGTACACAGAAGCCTGTGCACATTCTGGGGTGGGGCTGGGTTGCAGTACCTCAGCAGTTTAGATACAGCCATGAGGTGGGTAACAGGAAGCAAGAGTGGGGGCCTCAAGGGAATATGGGGACATAGAGGAATGAAGTTTAGCCCTGAAGCTGTGCTTGTGTGTGTGTGTTTGCATTTGCACACATGCATTTGAAAGAGGCAGTGTTATCTTGGATCTGGAAAACCCCACTGACATTAAAAACACTCAGACTACTGACCCAGCAGTTGTACTTCTAGAGAATTTGGCCAGGGGTTCCCCCATAGAGCTGCTTGTGTTAGCAAAGGTTGGCAAGAGCATAAAAGTGCATACAACAGAGCATGAGGAAGCCGCTAAAAGACCGACTCAGATTGCCTGGGCTTCATGTGAGGCGGTCTCCAAGTGTGCCAAGTGTGACAGTCACATGGCAGAATGGATACATGTGTGTGTGCCCATGCATCTGTACATGTTGATGGGGTGGAGGGTCGGCAATTGAGGGGTACTGTGAGAAGGGTGACAATGATTGCTGCTAGGGAGGCAGGGGTGGCCAGGACAAGGGTGGGAAGAAGATGTCTTTTTCACTGTACTCCCTTTAGGACCTTTTCAATCTTTTTATCCTGTGCGAGTAGCCTTATAATTTGCCGGCAGAGGGGTAGAGAGAAGAAAGTGTAAAAGAAGAAAAGTGGGTAACCAGGTCATGCTTAGGAGCAGGACGGAGCCATATATTTGGAATGGGCTGCACATTGTTGCTGGCACTGGGTCTGCTCACTCCAAGAACTCCCATTTTTTTGCAGTACTAGGGATTGAACCCAGGATCTTTGCACTGACTACATCCTCAGGCTTTTTCTTATTTTTTGTTTTTGATACGAGGTCTTGCTAAGTTTCCCAAGTTGGGCTCTAACTTTCAATCCTTCCAACTCAGCCTCCCAGAGTGCTGGGATTACAGGTGCGCACCGCTACGACAGACTCCAAGAACATTTCTTTAATAAGTCCTGTACCCACCAGCACATAGCCCTCAGGAACCATTCTTTTTCTCTCAGTAACTGCATGGATTTTACAATCAGATAATCCTAATCTCTAATTAGGCCATGTCTCCCAAACCTCCTTTGCTGTTAGGATAAAAATAACAATGTCTATCATGCCCTGTGTGAGCTGGCTTCTGCTAGCCTCTCCAGCTGATTCTCAGAAGAAAAATTTAGCTGGGGATGGAATGAGGAGAAGTTTGGACTTAATTATGAAAGCAGTAGGGAGCCATTGAAGCTTCAGGGGAACAGGCCCAAGATCATCCTACGAACTGGCCACAGATGCAGGGACCCAAATCTATTGATCCCTGCCAGTGAACAATCAATGGGACATCACTAGCATATATAGGGACACTAACTTCATGTGAGGCCCAGTGGTCTATTACAGCATTGGGAGGGAAAGAATTCTTACTTTCCGCACTTTAAAAATGCAAATGTGAAAGCCAAAGCTCAGAAAAGGTCAGACACTTGCCCAAACTCTCAAAACTAGGCAGAGGAAAAGTCAGCATTTGAACCTGGGTCTGTCTGCCTCCAGAATTCTGTTTTCAACCACTATGTATTTAGTTTTTCATGTAGATAAAGGGC